TCACGGGTTCGAATCCCGTTGAAGCCCTGATTTTTTCAGGCTTCGTCTTTCCAATTGCTTAAATTGGAAAATTTACTGCGATGATCATTTTTCACTTTAATCTACAACCGCAGTTCATATATGAATTATTTCATATAAACTTCACAAAGACATTTCGGTCAACATCCGAAACGAAAACCAAATGTTCATCCCAGCAAATGTTTATATATCGTAACATGACTCTTCAACTAAACGTTTGGCAGTTCTGCGGTGAATCTCAGTTCGAAGCGGAGAGAGATTTCCAAGATTTGGATGATTAGTCCCAGGCTCTAATAGGTCAGCGCGCACTGATTGATGGGAATGTTCTGGTCGCGGGGATGATGGGAAGGGTCGCGAGCGAGCAACGTGTCGGTACAGTGTTAAACAATTTAGTTTGGCACCTTGTTTCTTTTCATGGATCAGTTGAGGTGACATGACGCTTTAAGAGTTTCTCCATAAACAACCAGCATTGTGTTTGGTCAATTGTCTGGAATTCAGATCGAAAAAATGCCCGCGCGTTTTTTGCAGAATTTTCCTTGAAGTCGGAAAAACGTTTCTGTAACGACTTATTTTACAAGCAAAGGTCTCAAATTTCTAATAACGTTAATTGGTTTATATAAAACAATAAAGCGGCGAACAAAATGAAGGGCAGGTTACTTCCCGTGAAGGTACTCGACGCAGGTTGCGCTACCCGCTGGAGTGATTTAAACCGTGAATACAATGAATACACTCCCCGTTCGAAAACATTCCAAAGATTTACATTTTGGATTTGATTTACTAAATAGGACACCTTGAACGGCGCTGTGTTTGCGGAATTTCGCTTGCTTAACGATGGTCTCAAAGTTAACTGAACAATCTTGAGAAAAAAGCATGTCAGAAACACAGTCTATATAAAGGCTCAATGAAACGTTTTTAGAGGATGCGTTGGAGAAAGCATGTGTTCATAGCGGTTGTGTCATGTTGTCAACTGTCTCTTTTTACAATTCTTATTTATTTAATTAGGTTTTGCAATCAAAATTCCTACTCAAGAACTGAAGCTGAGACAATTGAAAGAGGAAAAGATGGAGTTAGTTACTTGTCTAACATGGCAGAAACAGCGTATAACAAGATGTCTTCATTTCTTCTCTTTCCGACTACATCAACAGCACCAAGGACAGTTTTTTTAAGTAATAACCTGGATCAAAGATCAAAGGACGATAATACCGGAAGCAGTGGAAACCACAGCTCTCTTACAAGAGGGAAATACAGCGGCAAGAAGACGCGGTTAAAACTGATAGTCACCATTTTGAGCGCACCCATAAGATTTGATCGCCGCGAAGGGATAAGAAGAACATGGATGAATCAATGCAATTCGGAAGAAGTCGTGTGCCGATTCTTTACCGATAGCTTATCCGATATGGAACCGAAAGTGCAAAGCGTTCTCGCTAACGAAAGCGCCAAATACGGTGATCTGGAGTTTATGCCGATTCCTAAAGGATACAACTTCGGTCTTCGGCTCTTGTGGTTAATGGAATGGTCGGTGCAGAGATACGACTTTGATTTCTTCTTGAGAATGGATGACGACTATTTTGTGTGCTTGAAAAGGCTGTTGTTTGAAATTCCCTTTCGTCCTCAAAAAAGGTAAGAATACATTTAACCTATATGAAGTAAACTTATACAAAAATGATGAGATTCTTTATGTGTTACCATTCTACTAAAATCCGGGCTGATATCGGGACTTGTTTACTTGTTCACTGCTGGTTATTGTTTTCTTCGAGATACATGACAATGATTACTTTCCTTTTGCTCATTTAAATATAAAAGATATTAGCAAGCCACTCTCTTCATAAAACAAATTTCAGACTCTGTACGGACAACTGTAACTGTGTTGCTTAATGGATAAAGTGCTGAACATTACTTTTTGAAAAGCTATTTTCAACGAATGAATGTCCCATCAAGATCTTATATAAGTTATGTGATTTATTATCTTTACAGAAAAGCAAGTATCATTTGCTATCATTTTCCCTAGTGAGAAAGTTTGATTGGAAAATAAATCGCAGAGGTGACAGAAACTACTTTCTTAGCCTTAAACTGATGAACTGAACTTCAAACTTCTTTCAACTTCGTTGGAATGTTGTGAATCCCTTTCCGAGAGTCGAAATTACGCCTCGTAAATGGCAGGTACCAGTAGATTTTCTCAGTTTGCGGTGTTGTTCATTTGTGTTGACCTCTTGAGCTTTTGACCGCAGAGGTACCTGATATTTGTTTAAACAAAAACTGGTAAAATCAACAGAGAAATACCATTTTCAAAACATTTCGATTCAACGTTCTAAACGGTCTTAAATCAAAATGTATTTCACTGATTAATCAGTGCAAAACAACACGAGGGAGTTAAAAACTAACCGGGTCGGACTCGGAAGTGAATATGATTCAAAAATTCAAAAATCGTTTGGCTGATGACAATTTCAATTCTCTGCATGTATTTCAGGCTCTATTGGGGTTATGTTCACTGCGAAGTAGAAGGACTGGTACGAGTGGACGAGGGCTTTCTTATCCTGTCAGCGGACCTTGTACAAGAATTCATGGGCAGAAAAGACGAATTACTTTGCCACCCGTTTGGCGACCAGACAATCGCGATATGGATGAATGATGTGAAAAACGTTATCTACTTTCACGATCCACGGATATTTCACGACGTAACGGCGCATATCCCTGAGTTCAAGTTGTTACGGGAAGTTTGCGGCACTTACATCAGTCTACACGGCTCTTATTTGCACGAAATGTTGATTTACTGGAAAAGCGCTTCAAAAGACAACCAGTCAACCTACTGGGTTCCTTCCATTCAGCCAATCAGCAACCTGTGTCCGCTGAGCACGCGTTTTGATTGGCGGGCCATGGGAGGCCCTCCGTACGGATGGGAACCAAAACCATGCGTGCTGAAACCGCTATGGAACTTGGGGAGTATGCACCGAGGAAGGAACATGATGTAGGGAACACGAATCTGTCCAGCACATTAGAATTGACTTACATATACAGTAGCCATAGTATTATCTCTTTAGAGCTTGATTTAAAATCTTCCCAGTCATGCAGAATTCTTCAATACTGGTTTTATTTGCTCAAATCTGTCCTAGGTTTTATATATCCCGGCTCGCGATCTTTTAGGTTTTGACTACCTAATCAATATTTACTTATTTAGAAAAAGAACCGCAAGCATTTAAATGAAAATTTCATTTTCAAAAAAATCTTTTCGATATTTTTACGCGTTCAGTTATATCGTATACGTTATTGAAGTATAGAATGGTTTCGATGAGTAATATACTGAATTAATGTTCAGCAAAATAAATGCTATTTAAAAGAAAGTAACATGAAGTTTTTATACAATTTCAGAAAGGTAAATTGAATTTAGAATATGAAGAACGAATTTTATACTTAAAATACAGTATTTTAAGAAATTCAATTAGAAATACAGTGTATCTTCGGATCCACCATTGACCTAAATAATTTTCAACAGTTACATATAAATATACATAAAAGTTGTTTACATAATTTCATAAAGTAAATATCATAAAGGTAATATATTTTTATAACTTTTAATCGATTGCATTTGAGATCAATAAAGTGTCAAAGTATTTTTCACATACAAAACTAAACTGTTTTGAATAAATCCTTCATAGAGAAACATTTGATGTAAGAACTACGAGCGAAAGTCGAAACGGGCGGTTGCTCTTTTAAAGGGATTTTCTTTCTTCAAACACAATTTTTGGCCACAATCCCGTACACCCTGAAAGTAGATTTGCTTCGATCGAAGCGACTCTATTAGCAGGGGATCTTGAGGGTAGATTGCGTAAAAAGTACCATGATATCGTATTAAACATGATTTGATTTAGCGCCCTGCTTCCAATGAGCGTCGCCTTTCTAATAAGCCTCCCCCTCGACACTTATCAGTAAGGATGCGACAAAATTGTTCTGTCCAAATAAGCCCTCACCCAGAAACTCAGGGTGCGGTGTTGTACGGGTCCGCAAATGATCCCAGGACCGCAAATGATCCCGGACCGCAAATGATCCCCATATTGGACCGCAAATGATCCCGATCAAAAAATCGGGAATGGCATGGATTTATATCAGAGGAAGGTGAGAGCATGTAGAAAAATAATGAACTAAAAAACATGTTTTATCATTTTGCGAAAAAAATCTTTCCACAGTTGCTGTTTTGTTCTTCGAAGGGTACAGATCGTTTTCACTGTCACGCAATAACGGAAATAATAAATCGAAAACCAACCAATGGAAAAAGCTAAGAAGTTGTGATGTACGCTATAGAAGATAATTAAATAAGACACGTCTCCAAGTTTTAGGTCTGTGCGTTTCCCCAAACGTCAGATATTCGTCGTAAATGTTTCCCAGAAATTCAGTAAGAAAGCGCCATGTTGGTGTACATCCGTGGTACACCAATATGGCGGCCGGAATATAGTGTAAACATCTGGAACTTACTTTGGCTTTCTAGACGACTGATTATCAGTACTAAACAAACAAGCATTTACATAAGCACTTTTCCTAATGCTCTAACTTCTAAAAAGGCTCAAAATCATGAGATAAATATA